TTTCAAAGGTCTTTGACACAAGAGCTTACCGTCAACAGTACCACGAATTTGGTACTATAATTGCTACAGCATAGCAAAAATAAATATCGCAAGAGACGTCAAAATAATCTTGTTTTCTTTTCTTATAATTTTTTTTCTATTATATTTCATTCCTTTTTAGTTCTTTTTGTATATATGTGTTGTATTAGAGTTTGAAATTCAAATTTTGGCTCAAATTTCTGTCAAGATAGTCGTCGGTGTCCGTTCTCCCTTCGAGGACAATATCCAAAGGTTTGGGTGGTGTGTTGACCTCATTTTTGGGTGAGGTCTTTATTTCTCTCCTTAGAGCCTAGGGTCTAGCCTTAGGTTTTCCTTGTTTGACTCTCTTACAGGGTTAGAATTGGGGCCCACAGTGCTTAGAAAATTCGAGCCACTTCCTTACTCCTTCGAGTCTCGCATGGGCGGTCTTGAATCCTCGGCATTTGGCTGAGTTGATTAGAACCGACACATGAAACTCGAGTTGAGTTCTTGCATGAATAGGAGCAGCCCCTAGAGAAACTTTTAATGACTCGAACACTCGCTAACACCACAATTTGCGCACGCATCACACCACTCACGATTTTGACTTGAATTGACCTGCCCGTCGACGAGCTAGAAAGAACACCCATATCACTATGCTTCCGCGAGCGAGCAGTTAGCACGAAAATTGATGCATATTTTTTTAGGGGGAGTGGGTTCAAGCTCAACCCAGGTTCAATTCGAGTTTGATCTGAGCTGAACGTGGGCTAATCACCCCAGCACACATGATTTCAAATTTCAAATTTTGAAATTAAAATAAATCATTTAATCTGATATTAATTGAATTAAATTTGATATTAATATTTATCTAATAAACACCCCCCATGCATGGAAACTAATCAATCGCGTGCCTAGTCAATCTCCCATAACGAACACTTTGGCTATACTAATTCGTCTGCCCCGCTCCTTCGATGGATAGCTCCTCTCTCCTGCTCCTCCGCTCGATATCGCTACCCCTTTGGGACCCGAGACTCTCTCGATCCCGCCTCCTATTCTCTCAGCATCAAAGCCCTCGCCTCTCCCTCACGACCAGACGCCGCTCGCCTCCCTCTCCCGATCAAAGCCCATGCGGCGCCTCTACCTCCCCGATCGAAGTTCCTGCTCGCCTCCCTCGCTCGACAGACTCCTCCTCCTTGTGCCGAAGCCTGCTCCATGCTCCTCCGCTCGACCCCTCTTGCCAGCTCCTCTCTCACGCTCGCCTTCCCTCTCTAGAGCTCGACCGAAGAAGCCATCGCCTCCTCCCTCTACACTAGAAACACTAGCCAAAATCACCTCTCTCATTCGACCCCTTTTCTTCTCGCCTCCTCTCTCGGCTTCGCCTCCCCTCTGCACTAAAAGCTTCAGCCGACGCTCCTCTTCACAGGCAAAAGGCCTAGCCCAATTCCCTCCTCACAGCATTTGAGCAATTGAGATTGTCTCGTTACCGCAACTCTCGCTCTCTTCCAGGGCTGCACTGTTCCCTCCTTCTAAGGTGCTGCCTTTCTTGGCAACTTTAAATATAAAATTTTCTAGCATTTATTTGAGGGAATGATAGTTACATGTCATAGTCCTTTGGCATTAAAACTTGCGTTCAAGATATGGATTTATAACAGTTATATCTTTAAGCCCTTTTGACAGTATATTAATGATCAAATTTTCGCAAGCATCAACAGATTTAGGCTTTATTTTGGTAACGTTATGCTATGTTTGTAGCAAATCAAGTTGTCAATATTTCCACAATAGATCAGTTTGTTGCTCTATGTTAGAGGCCATAAAGAAAAAGGATAGGCTTTCACTGCATGTCTGACAAGGATATCAAAATCATGAAATACTATTTTTTTTCAAAACAGAACAAATTCTTACCAGATGAAACCATAAAGAGGTTGTAAAACTGTCGTTTTAAGCTTGCATATTTTACTGAATCGGAAGTTTTAAAAATATCATTGTGAGCTTGCATATCTTGCTGAAGTTGAAGTTTTAAAACTGTTAGTTTGAGCTTACATATCTTACCGAAGTTGAAGTTTTAAAACTGTTATTTTGAGCTTACATATCTTGCTGAATTGGAAGTTTTAAAATTATCATTGTGAGCTTGCATATATTGTTGAAGTTGAGGTTTTCAAATTGTTGTTTCAGGTTGCATGCTTGCTGAAATGAACAGAATTAAAATGCTTCCTTTTTTTTTGGGTTTGATTACGCTCGATCGTGATCTGGAGAGACAAAGAGGATATATGGAAGAATTTGAAGATGAAAGTGAGAAATACAACGTCAGTTCCTACCAGCTTATTATAAACAGAATGTTCAAAAGCTAGTTTCAGAAGTGGAGAGAGCACATCACCAAGCGACCACCACATCTTACAGGCAGAATTTAATCTCAAGATCCTACATCCAGAGTACACCTAGGGGACCACCCAAGATGATCCCATTTGAGGAAAAACCGATTCACAGTGAAGAACATGTGGAACCAATCAACATTCTTAAATCTATCACAGCCAGGAAGTGTTGCAAGTGTCATGAATTCGGGCATGTTGAATCAGACTGCACAACCAGAGGGTGATCTGTTTCACTGAGCAAGACATTTTTGAAAAATTGGGTAATGACACAGTAGACACTGAAGAAGGTAATGACACAAAGAAAGACCAGCTTCCAGTTGGGAAAAAAAATGCACATAGTTTTAGCTGAGCCCGTTAGAGACTTCAGCCGATTTCAAAGTGAGTGTCCAAGGCAATATTGAGTTTGAGGAACTAACACCAAAGGCATAGTACCCCCATATAAGAAAATTTCATACCATTCAGACCTATAGACTCATTGGTGAGTTGCCCCTACTGAGGAAGATCCAACAAATCGTTGTCGCCAACATTCCCCCTCACAACAACAACCAGAAAACAACATTTTCCAGTTGTTTTATACTGTTTCAGCCACCCAGCCATCCATTCCTTTCCTTCCAGCTTGTCTTTCTGCACCTCCCCCCCTACATCCCTGCTGTCCACACCCTTCCTATCGCCGCGCCTTCCAGCCTTGATCCACATCTTGCTACCTCCTCGTAGGGCCAAACCCTTGTCGATCACCACCAACACCCCGAGATCCTAACCTAGTTGGATTATTTGTGTTGTGTCTATTGCTATTTCCGATTCAAGTGTGTTGATTGTAACTGCTTAGTTACTTCAAGTTATGATATTTGCTTTTCTATTATAGTTTGGGTTAACTCTGGTATCAGGTTTTCTGCGTTGTTATCCCATCGATGCTTTCCCACTAACCCTAATCGCAAATGTATCTTGAACGGCAGAAGATGAGTGCGGCCAACATGAAGGACATGGTACGGAAGGATTTGTGTGTGAAAACAAGAGAACAATAGAGGGAGATTGAGCTTGTGCATGTAGAGAAATGAACAAATTCCTGTGTGATAGAGTGGGGAAGAAGATGGAGGAAAATCAGAGACTAGCGAATGAGGGGTTCAGTTTTATCAATCAAGGGAAAATAGCGGTTGACGAGAGAAGGGTTTTAGAAACGGGGTGAGGCGCAGGCTAGAGCAGTTATACAAGAAAAATAATTTGGTGTGCAGAGAAGTTCAAATTTTGAATTCGTATTAATTAAATTTAAATAAACCTAATTAATAAAATTAATAACCTTTAATAGTTTTTTTTCAATGTCAACACTATTTCCTTGTACTCTATGTATTCATATAGGTATTGTGCGAGGTAGCATTGGTATCTCCTGTGTATCAGCATGTGCTGGATTGTTATGAGATTGGCTGCCCTGGCATTGTTGGTTGTGAGAGGGACCACTGCTCCATGTGCATGAGGTTAGGTATGCTCATTTAAGGTCATGATTGAGTTGCTAAGTTGCTAATGAAGAAAGATAACTCTGAAACTAGAAGATGCAGGCATGTATTCTAGCAAAATAGTTGTCGACTAGTCATCGTTTATGAAGTTTCTAGTGTGCAGGCATGTATTCTAGCAAAATAGTTGTCGACTACTCATCGTTTATGAAGTTTCTAGTGAACAATGAACCTAGAAGACAGTGCCATATATTCTTGTAAAATAGTAGCAAAATAGTAAATATGGTATAGTGCATCATCTATTGGACAATGAAGTTGCCTTGTGGAAGCTATCCTCCTTTAATTTAGAACAGAAGTGCTCTCTAAGGATCTGCATTGCTTATGGGCATCTACATAATGTTACGATACTTAATTCTTATATGCACGTTTAACAAATCTTTGTCGGGGACCTTTTTTTTCCTTGTTTGAAAAGAAGACACGGTCTCATAACAACATTTATGATATTGAAAAAGAACAGAAAATCCACCCATCGTACAAGCTTCACGTCCACAGGAATATATTGAGCCATCAAAGAACCAGGTCCTTAATAAACTTTCACTCTTATGTACATGTAAAATTAAAGTACTCTGCTAATTTACATTTAGCATAAAATATAAATAAAAATTGTTCGGGAAAAATAAAAATGGCTGCCTTTTGAAGGAAAATTTGATAATTACTAATTTCAAGCTGAAAGAAGGCACCTGCGTTTGCACATATGCAAAGTAATTAACTCAAAGTTTATAAATGAAGTGGTTACCAAAAACAGATATTGGGTCATTACTGTAGCAAAAACACACAATTTTGCATTTTCTTCAAACAGTATTAAATATTCTGTATGATAGTTTCGCGTCTCAGCAGCCAGTCAAGTAGTCCTTCACAAGAATCATATTTTGAAGATTCATTTTGATTCCTGTGTCAAACGACCAATTAGATATGAGTGACAACTAAAGATAAGAGGTCAGATAGTTTGCATATCACACTTATAAGAACCATCATCTAATGATTGTTTTCAATTGTTCTTTGAATTACCTATAATGAAAGTGAGCATGAAGGTAGAAAAGCACAAAAGCTGGTCCAGTTACCTGTCATTTTCAGCCTAAAAATAGCCTTGCCGAGTTTCACAATAAAATTTTTTTTTTTATAAATTTAGAAAAATAGAAAAAAATGGCTTTATTAAAGAATAAAGGCACATCTCTGAGGGTCAAAGTACACTAGCCATGTAGAATAATACAATAAATAATCAATCCATGCAAACTACAATAAACCTTACCATGCCCTAAAGTAAGTTAACAATCGGGAGAGGATAACGACAGAAATCGTTCACTATATTTGTCCTAAACAGAATTTGAATTTTACTAATGGAACCCTTTGCAAACATAATCAAGGACGCCATCAAATGACTCTTCCTTTATTCCTACTCGGCTGAAAATAGTTCAAGGCTGATAAAAATCAGAAGGCAGACAAGGATCAACACTTTTTACCTTTTAAATGGCTCTAGTAGAATATACAATAAGAATGCACAGAAGAAGGATCTGATGATTCCAGCTTCATGGAGTTATCTCCTAGATATACCTCTGATCTTTGACTTCACACGCTGCCCACAAAACAAAATCTGGCTAGCCTTTTGGATCTTGGGACGGACTCCTCGCTTCACCTGGATTCAACAGAAATAGAGTTATATGGTGTGCTTGTTAACCTTTTTAATTTAATACATATCATAAGAGAATGGATGAGTAGAAACCGGACCGGTTGTCTGTGGGTTCTGTGGGTTTTCCAGCAGAAGAGCCCGCTACAAGGGGGTACAGAATCATAGTCCCTGGAGAATAATGTGATTCTTAAAATCAGATAAAGTTCATAATGAGTGAATAGAGAAGCATTGTTAATAAAATCGAATTTATTCTAAATTAATCTAATAGAGGTACAATTTTAAGTTTTATTATAGAGCCTCATTATCACCTAAAAAACATCATGAAAATTTTTAGGGAGTTTCATGAATCAACTTACTGCAAATATCTTAAATTTGATTTATGAAACTGAATTTGCATTTCATAAATGTAAAATCCATTTTAGTTTGGGATTACTAAAGCAAAAACATATAAAGTAGCTTTAACTAGAAAAAATGATTTATGAAACTGACTTTGCATTTCATAAATGTAAGATCCATTTTAATTTGGGATTACTAAAGCAAAAAACATATATAGGAGCTTTAACTAGAAGAAAGAGGAAATATGGAGTTATATACCATTTTATGAATTGATTCAAATCTAAAATTTTAGTTCAATTTTCTTCCTCTCCCAAAGCCTGTCCTGGCTAGCACTTCTAGGCCCTTTATGAACGGACCTAAATCAACCAAAAAAAAGGACGCACTTTGACTTGAGTGAGCCCAATTTACTATTTATAAACCTTAGTTAACAATACTGCAACTATGAATGAGATGTAAAAGAGCAAAAGCGGAGTTGAAAACCGCTAAAAAGTCAATTAACAGGTAGCTTTGTTGCAATATTATGAGAATAAAGCTATATTAATATATATACAGTAGTTTGGACTTCTTTTATGTTTCATTTTAAGTAAATTAAATAAAACGAATTTGTGTGGAGATTTTAAATGCCTGTCCAAAGCAAACGAATTCAAAATAATATCCTCCACCGCTTGTAGTTGCTCCCACCTCTTCCAACTGCTTTTGTCACTATTGCCACTGTTGCTACATGTTACCACTCATCGCCTGATATGCATCTACCACACGTCGCGCTTCACTGCCACCACTACCAATCATCATCACCTAGCACTGCCCCCAACCACTACCATCCAGCCAACCACTAACAAATTTTTAAAATACATGCATTTCAATTACTCTATAGTTTCAAAATAAATGCATTTTAAGAACATCCAATCAAATGATCCTTAAATTACTAGGCCTCCACTTGTAATAGAGTGCTTTCTTATCATATGGAGCTTCTCCAAGAAATCAGGGGCTTTCTCAAGGCTGAACATTTTGACTAAAAAAAGCTTAGCCTAGCAAATGAACAATGTGCTTGTTTCTATAATCATTTCCATCATATATCTTACCATCACAATTTAATATATTACTTAAAACTTTCTCAAGTCATATTTGGCTGCTTGTATATCTTAGCATACTTAAAAGGCGCATTCATCTTTTTTTTTTTTTGTGAGAAATCAAGTTTGAATCTTTAGCATGATCGACAGGGAAAAAAAAAAGAATTCTAGAATAGTGCTTATTCAAAATTGGAAAAAGCTACTTTAATTTCACAGAAATCAATCACATTAGCAAAAACTTAATTAGGAAAACCAGAGAATATGACATATATCAATAGGAACATATATAAATAGGAACTTACGAGTTTTCTTTGCCAAAACTGATCTCAAAATTGTTGCTATGTAGTAGACTAGGTAAAATAGCATTTTTGATCTTATCCCCGCCATTTTGTGATTTGCGATGGGCCTGAATATCATGTAAAGTTAGAGCCTTGATTTCACGATTTTGCTCATCTTCCCAACGTCTCAAAGATCTGTCCACCTCAACCAATGGATCATAATACAACTGACCATTTCCATCAGTATTTGAAGAAATTGGAAATCGGGAAGCACCATTATCAGCTGCTTGTGTCAATCCATTTTGTGATTTTTGTTTATTAGAAGACTTAGTATGCATGTTAAGAACTGAAATCTCCATCTCTTTTCCTTTAGAGGCAAAGGACACATCATTTTCTTCAGAAGAATCTGAAGAACATTCAATTTGGAAACTATCATCTTGCGGCCGTGAATTGCTACATCCATCTAATTTTTTGTGACTGGCACCTTCAAAAGAATTTCTAATTTTCCTTGGAAAGAAAGTCTCATCTTTAGAAGGCGTGTTCTTCATGCCATCAGGTTCCATCTTTCTCTGATTATCCAGGAACTCAAGCTTCTCCATATACTTTTTTGTCAGAGTATCAGAAGGTGGTTTAAAATTGATTTTGTTATCAGGAATAAGACTCATTCTTACCCAAACATTCCGTTTTAGGACCATCTCCAATAAATCTGTGATCCTCTTAGAGTACCTTTCAGCTGTCAATTTTATACTACTGTCCGCAAATGCTATGAAAGCAATCAATATACCTGCAAAATGAGGCATAGAAAAGCACGGCTTAATTACAAATTAAGTTTTTTCATGAAACAATGGTAAAGCAAGAGTTTTAGAGTAAAGAGTTTCACAAACATTAAAATAAGAGCACAAGTTTCTAACTGATACAAAGTAAAAAATGCAAATTTTGGTGAACCAATTGCATCATGGAAAAAAGCAGCTGGAGTCCAACTCTTAAACATCTGCTGTACCAGACCCAAATCAAGGTGGGTTTTGTTAGGCAACATCCAAATATGTTCTTCAGGATAACTAAGGGTGCATACATGGATAAACAAGCTTTCCTATGACCAATTCATAAGAAATTTGTCACCCGCCAAGATTACAATATCTAATGTTTATTCACTGTTTGTTATTTGTGATAGAGAGAAAATTGCATAAAAACCATAAGTGGCATTACCATAAGAACATAATTTTCTATTTTTAGAAGACACATCAATACAAAGGGTTAGGGGCCATTTGGGATCTTTCGTTTTTTATTTTCCATATTTTTATTTTTATTTTGTTTATTATTGTTTTGATCTGAAACAAAACGTGTTCAGCTATTTAATTAAAATATAGTTGTTTTTAAAAACACTCAAAAATTTAAAAGTTTCTTCAAGTGTTTTTAAGAACATGTAAATTTGTTTTTGGAAATAAAATATAAAAAAAAATGTAATAAACACCCCAAAAAATATGTTTCTTAAAAATAATAATAATAATAATATAAGACAAAAATTGATCCCAAAAAAACCTTTAATTTTGGTGGGATAAAGACCACATTCATCCCGCTCTAAGCTTATAATTTAGACAAGTATTATGCAAAAAACTTGAATTAAAATCTAAAAAGATTAGACATGCAACTTAAGGGTCAAAAAAAAAATTGTTTTGAACTGGAAGAACTAAAGAAAAACGGACAAATCAAAGAAAACAAATCAGGCAATTGGTTAGTTAATAGTAGATTCAATTAACAGAATCATTCAACGAATTAGGCATTATTGGCTAACCTTCTTCTTCAGCTAATGAGATGAGCTTTCCATGAATCGATAACATCTGTCTCAATGTTTTTGAACAGCATTTTTCAATGCACCGTCTCCAAATCTCAGATAAGTTAAAAGCGTTTTGAGAGGCATTGTAAACGAAAAGAGCATCATCTGAAGCACAACTTTTAACCGATTGAATTTTTGAAGGCATGACGGCCGAGATTGGATCCTGGTTCTGGAGCATTCTAGAAGGTGTCTGGTAACCAGAAGGGGTAGGCCTTCTGCTCCTCATGCCTGAAAAAATGGCAGAGTCTGAACCTCGCAATTCAATAAAATCAGAGGGCCTATTGTAAAAGGTGGACTTTTTTATGTCGGCATTCATTTTGGCAGTAGAATGCTTTCTGCTGATGTTTGGTTGAGTAGACTCCATATTTTTAGCTGATGCAATCTGAAGCAGGGCAGTCGTGAGTATTGAAGAGTGTTCACTAGAATGTTTCAACTGCTTTTCAGCATCAGAAAGAATTTTCAAGGCCTGCTCTAATCTCTTCAAGTCATATTCTGTCACTAAGAAATTATACAAAGAAATGAATAAAAAAATTAAGGGGAGCCGTTGTAAGAAAAAAGATTGAATAGTAAAGGAAAACAAAGGAAAACTCGAGTTATCCTTTTATATAGTTTTTTTGTTGGACAAAAGAGGGGAGTTATGTGCCTTAAAAAAGATAATACTAACATTAAATTGATTGGCCGTATCTTGAAGAAGGGACGCATAAATTGCAGAAAAAACGGGAAATTGCCACACCCAACAAAGAAATTACATATCTAAATATAAGGAAAATCACAGCAACAAAGAATTGGCAGAACATGGCATCTATAAATATCTATGAACTAAAATTTTTGGATAACAGGACAAAAGTATGATAAACATAAAAGTTCCTTCCAAAAGTTGAAGTTCACTACAAAGTCCTTAAATTCAAATACTCTAGAGAAATTTAACGTGAGAAGTCATCTCCCAGAGAAAAAAATTTTAATTTTATTGAAATCTTCTTAATAGATGAAGAGGATTATAATGATATATCCCTCTGAACAAATCTATTGTGATGCACACAAACAACTTGTAAGAAGAATTGTAAAAATGAAGTTTTAGATATGTAACAGAGACTAATTAAGTGGTATGTATGTAAATCTTCCTATATTTTAATTTTATGAAAAAATCAAAGTTTACCACATATGCAATAATTGATTAAAATAAATGAAGGATTCATGAAATAAATTGATATTATATATTCAAAATATGTAATTCGTAATATTGTTCATAATCAAAGTTCAGCATATAATTAAATTTCGGTTTACTAATAATCAAATAATTTAAATCCAATTAAACTTTGGTTCGGTAGGTCGGTTTTATAAGAATTTTGATTGGTTCCATTTTTTGGATTTTGAATTTCAATTGCAATCGGTTTGACCAATGTGCAAAGTAATCCATCTGAACCAACCGAATGCTCACCCTATCGCTAAAGATTTGAAATAGGTGAGTGAATGAGAAAGAGAGAAAGATAAGCAAATAAGAAAGTCAACAAGAAAGGCATGTGAGCTACAATGTGGGCACAAGTAAGATTGATGTGGGCAAGCCTTGGGGTTGTAGAGGAAGGAGAATCTTTTTCTTTATAAGATCAGCATTTCATTTCAATGGAGCCTATGGTAGCTCAAATCTTAAAAGTTGTGTTAATCATGAAAAAAATAGCACAGCCTAAGAAAGAGCCTAACAAGGAATAACAATGAAGAAATAAATAGCAAGTTCCTCCTAAGAGCATTCTTATCAAACAAAAAAAAAGGTCCCTCAATTGAAAAATGTTATAAAGAAAAGAAGATAACGTCTTTTATTCACAAGAATTCCAAAAAAACCTTCAATCGAAGGAGTAAGAAAAATTGCTCATACTCAAATTATGGCTTCAGATAATGCATTAGTGATTATTCATGCTCCAATTCAAAATTTTAAGGAAACTAACCCACACAAAGTCCATAATATCAAGCTGAAAATATTTTATGTTTCCCCTCAATTTGTGTGCCCTAAGGTAGAAAATTTGTTTTACAAATACGAGAAATCTCAAAGTCAAAACTCTAACTAGTATGAAGGTCCCCATATATTTCCCCCTAATTCACAAGTATGAACTCTTGACAAATAGACTTTAGCAAGCTTATCCTTTGAAACGCTCTAGTATGGAAAGAGTTCTCGAGTGCAACTAAACCATGGCAAGTACACCACTAGAGAACGCATGTGTATCCAATTCATAAATCCTTGATTAAAGGCAAGTTATATAATGAATACCAAACAGGTCAAGGAAAAATATGAGGATTCTCTCAATGATTTCACCCCATCAAATGATCAAAGCATGCAAGTTAAGCCAACAACATAAGAATTTAAGGATGGAGGTCAATCTAATATGAATGAAATAAAAGGAATTAATCTCAAGGTTATGGAGGACCATCGTCCAACTTTTATAAGTGCTTTGTTCCTGAAAAATAAAATAGAAGAAATTAAAGCGATATAGTGTGAATTCAAGAATTGCTTTGCTTATACATTGACATTCCTAATTTATCCCAAAAAGTGGTAGTTAGAGCTGAAAACAAGCCGAGCTTGAGCTGAAACTTGGCTCGTGCTCGGTGCGTTCGAAACTGCTTGTGTTCAAAATCGGCTCGTGAAAAGTGTGTTCATGTTTGACTTAATTTAAATATTCGTGTTTGTTTTCGGCTCGTGTTCGGCTCGAAATTGGCTCAGTAAAATTAATTTGAAAAAACTAGATGTAAAGTGTTGGATTATAACCTGGACAAAATGTATGCAAAAGAAGACACTAACCACATTATCACACAAGGCCTGGACAAAATGTATGCAAAAGAAGACACTAACCAAATTATCACACAAGATGTTATGATCTAAACTTAGATATAAATATATATAATATATGATTATATAAATAATATATGTAGTATATTATTATATAAATAATTATTTATTTTTTTTATTTTGAGCTAAAACGAGCCGAACACGAACATATGATTCGAGCTTTAAAAACTTATTCATGTTCGGCTCGTTTACCTAACGAATGAGCCGAACACGAACTACTTAATGAGTCGAACACGAGTTGTTCGCGAACAACGAGCTTTTTTGACAGCTCTAGTGGTAGTTCACATATTAGCCATCAACTAAGAAACTTCATCAATCAAGCTCTCATGTAGGGATATGCGGCTCGAAGTTCAAAAACAATTGGATTAAAAATAAAAACTTATAAAAGATGCATTTATCTAGAAAGAAAAAAATATGTCGATTGGAATGCTAATGCCATGCTCATAAATAGGAATAGTAGTTGGACACGTATTTACATTGACTTTTGGGACCTTAAAGCATGTTGAATGAGCTCTTGTTCCTTGTATTAGAATTTTTATCCAGTAACACCTCAAATTATGACATTTATCATTCATGAACGAACCTTCAGGCTACATTCAAATCAAAATGGTTCCAACAGATCAAAAAAACATAATCTTTTCAATTTCAATTGACATGTGAATTCAAGAATTGCTTTGCTTATCCGTTGAAATTCCTATCCCCAAAAGTGATAGTTAGAGCTGAAAACGAGCCAAGCTTCAGAGAGCTCAGGCTTGGCTCGTGCTCAGCTCGTTCGAAACTGCCCGTATTCGAAATCGGCTCGTAAACAGTGTGTTCGTGTTCGACTCGATTTAAATATTCGTGCTCGTTTTCGGCTCGTGTTCGGCTCGAAATTGGCTCGGTAAAATTAAATTAAAAAAACTAGATGTAAAGTGTTGGATTCGAACCTGGACCAAATGTATGCAAAAGAAGACACTAACCACATTACCACACAAGGTGTTATGATTTAAGCTTAGATATAAATATATATAACATATTATTATATAAATAATATATGTAGTATATTATTATATAAATAATTATTTAATTTTTTTTTTTATTTTGAGCTAAAACGAGCCGAACACGAATGAACAAAGAATTGTTCGTGTTCGGCTCTTTTATGATTCGAGCTTTAAAAACTTGTTCATGTTCGCTCGTTTACTTAACGAACGAGCCGAACACAAGCTACTTAACGAGTTGAACACGATCTGCTTGCGAACAACAAGCTTTTTGATAGCCCTAGTGGTATACGAGCCGAACACAAGCTACTTAACGAGTCGAACACGATCTGCTCGCGAACAACAAGCTTTTTGATAGCCGTAGTGGTATTTCACATATTAGTCATCTGCTAAGAAACTTCATCAATCAAGCTGCTATGTAGGGATATGTGGCTCGAAGTTAAAAAACAATTGGATTAAAAATAAAAAACTTATAAAAGATTCATTTATCTAGAAAGAAAAAAATATGTCGATTGGAATGCTAATGTCATGCTCATAAATAGGAATAGTAGTTGGACACGTATTTACATTGACTTTTGGGACCTTAAAGCATGTTGAATGAGCTCTTGTTCCTTGTATTAGAATTTTTATCAAGTAACACCTCAAATTATGATATTTTATCATTCATGAACGAACCTTCAGGCTACACATTCAAATCAAAATGATTCCAACAGATCAAAAGAACATATTCTTTTCAATTTCAATTGACCTGTGTTTTGATTTAGAGTCATGTTCATTGGCTTAAAAAAATTAATACTACGTCAAAAGGTTGTTAGCCCATATTTTTATGAGTCGATTCAGAATGAGTGGAATGTTATAATGATTATCTCATCTTCAAAAATATGATTTGCATAAAGAATCTTGAAAACCTCTGAATCATATTTGAAAGAATCAAAAACTACAATTTTAAAAAAAAATCAAGTGCAAGAATGTCCTTCTAAATTTTTGAGCTTATTATGCTTTATAAAGAAATAAAGATCAACTCTAATAAATTCAAGTCATCATAGAGATGGCTCTACAGAAAATGTATTGCATTTCTATTCCTTAAAGGGATGACTTTGTCTATATCAAACATATCTATATGATGGTAACTATTTGTGAAACTAATTAAAAATTGCACCTTTCAAATGGGCGACAACAAAAGTCCCCTCCATTGGCCCTTCCCTTAACCTTCACTACGATGATAAGTTAATATATCAAAATACCATAACCATAGGGGTCTCTCATCCAAATCAAACTCTTGAACATAAAGACAAGAACCTCAAGCCTTTCTTAATGTCATATTTCGATTAACAAATTGCCACTAACGAAGAGGAACTACTACAAAAATCCTCTAAGAAATTCCAAGGAAAACGCATTTCAGAGTTTTCTCTGAATGATGGGCATAAATTAAGCAAACCATAAATAGAATTCAATTTAAATACTTTACCCCTCCAAAAAAATATTGAAAAATTCTTATATATATACATAGATATAAACTAAAATGCCTAAGAAATAATCTACTTCACACTTAGATCAATTGTCATCTATTCCCTAAATCAATTTGTTAAGGATGAAAAATAAAATCTAGCTAAAACAAAAAAAAAAGAAAGAATATCTTATCAAATATATTCATATTATACACTTAAAAACCAGATTATGACAACACCATTATAATATGATTAAAGTAGAATATGAATGTTCCTTGATCCTTATGCCTATGACTTATAAATCATAAACCGTACCTGATAAGACATGAAGCCCTTTAGTTAGTTATGATTAACTGTCCCTTTTACAAGCTTTTAACCTAAGCTTACAAGATCTATTTAAATAATAGAACTCATAGTTATTGATAAGTCTTTCAATTATGTCAAAAAATATTTTTTTCAATGTTGTTTTTTAATAAAAATAGAAATTTATAAAAAAATAACAGAATTACATCAAGAGTAATTAATAAATATTGCAAAAGAAAAAAGAAAAATTATTTAAGAAATAAAATAAGATGCTGAGCAACTAAGTCAATAGATACCTAAAAATTACAAAGTAGCTCATTTAAATTTTCTTGCTAGAAGTTAGTGAAGGTCGGGGAATGATGACAATATTTTTTTTCTATTTTTAATCTTGCCTGATAAATGCAAATAAAAACTTATATCCGCTAACGATTCAATACTATGAGTACTCTCATCTAAGGCATGACTAAAAAGTATCGCCTTCATCTTTGTGATAATAACATTTGAGGACTTGGAGGATCCGCTATAGATAATGAATCTAGCTCAATGAAAGGATGCGATGAGTGGAGAAGCAATTACTATTAAATGACAAGAAGAACCATATCCTCGACACTCAAAGGACAAACAGTTCCCACATTTCGATTGCAAACATTATTTGATTGAAATGCTTCCACTTTGACCGCATGTATGTTCTAGTTCAATTGTAGTGTCCTTTACGGTTAAAAATTAGTTTTCTTAATTCTAGATAAGCCTTAAAGCATTTGACGAAATTATAACCAAAATTCTGCATGATAAGCAATAGGATGTACTGCCTTCAAATTCTACATTTTGCTAAAATCCATAGATACGGTCAATCCACACTTCTTTTTCCAACTAGTAGATAGGCCTTTGAATGTCTTGAGAAATGAAAAGTAGCATCAACTAGTTGAAAGAGTTTGCAAAATGTTGATCTTGCTGAATATATTGATGATTAGTTAAAATAATGTAGCCAAAAATGAATAAATAATATCCACACTGGAGTAATTTTGGTTCCCCTAAACAGAGCGATCATTTTAATATACGTATTGAGATACCACTAATATAATAGGCCAACCGAAAAAACATCTTGTTCGAATTAGCTTTTGAGGATAAGTCAATTATGATATATTCACAAGACAAACTGAATAGGAGCAAACCAATTTTACATCTAACAAAATTTATGGATGACTTCCACATTAGGATGACCCCGTGAGAATTTGCCAATAATAAAAATGACAAAAAGTTTAACAAGTTCAATGGCCCGTCATCAAAAAAGATAAGAGACGACTTGCCTTGATATGTGGAAAGGCGCTTATGAGGTGGTAGGATTGCATCTTGATTGAAAAATATGAGAAAATATTTGTTTGGTGGGGTTGAATGAAATATCTCATTTAGCCCACCAATAACATCAGCATAAGAGCAAGACTAGGAAAGGGAGAAGAAAAGGAAGCAGATAAATTCATTCAAGAATAGATGGAAAAGAATATTGATACGGGTTGAAAGTGGAATAGTAGACAAGACATGAACCAAAGATGAAGGAAGTGAGCATGGCGACAAAATTGAGAGATGAATTAAAAGTTCACCAAAAGTGGAAAGAAAAAATAAGAATATAAAAATCTTAGAAATGGGAGGAAGGGAGAGCAACATTCCTACTCCATAGCTGGAAAAAGCGCCATAAGACGTAATTTAAAAAGATAATGCACACAGAAAATGTACAAGAGAGCGATAGCACAAGCCTAGAAGTACAATCAGATGTCACAATGAGCTAAAGCATAAGCATCAATGTTGGGCAACACGACGTAGTGCAAATGTGGGTAAGAACAATCCTCACAAGCAAATGTGTTGTGAACGACCGTAGCTAGGGCAACGACGCATGAACTCTGAGAGGACAAGAGCAAGTTAAATTTACTAAGTAGACTAAAGTCCATGACAACTAAGATAATAAAATAATATGATCATCATCAAGTTTATTATTATTCCATTCATTCCGAGCTAATAGTGATATATCATTATCTTCTCCAATCTAAATGATTGCAATAAAAGAAAAGCATTATCGTTATCTATAAATAAGCATTCAATAGAAGCTATTTTTCATGAGAAGTGATTAAACCTAAAATCATATGCTTATAGAAAACCTTAAATGATTTCATAAAGTATTTATTATAGAAAAATATCCCTTAATAGCGAATAATATAAAAAACACATTTATTTTTATAAAAACTACATAATATTGCCCGAATTCTTTATTTACAAAATGACTACCCGTATTTTTATTTTTATTATTATTATTATTATTTTTTTTGAACTACCAAACTCCAATATTTACACTAAAAAATCAAGCCCTTGTGAGTTTGATAAAAAAAGAAAAATAAAGGTTGTGTTTTTATTGTGAATTTCAATATTTCTGTGGGAATTTGAAAAATGGATGCAAGAGGGTGTATTTTTTATAATTAGCAATGTTTAAGGTGCATTGTATGTAAATTTTCCCTTTCTGTTATTTAAAAATTGACACGAAATCACTCAAATATATGAATAGAGTTGGACGTGAATTTGAGAGTCCACACCTTATCTTTTTTGTTTATACAACCTCTTTGACATTTAATTTGTCACCCAAAATATAAACATAAAAAAACAACTCTTAATGGAGTATTTTAAGATTTTTCATAATGCTGCGTTGCAGCCTCATAAAGTTTCATCTTAGAAGGCCAAACAAACTTCAATCTCGTAACGCACTGCTAACACCTCAAAATCATCAAAAATAGTAAAAAAGAATCCTTCGGAAAAAATTTATTTCAATTATTACTCAAAAAACAAATCAGAAGTCAGAAAAGGGAAAATACTGCTAAATTAGAGTTTTTCTAATTATTTAAATACTAAACCATCTTATTCACTTTCCCCTCATTATAAAGGACAGTTGAATTTACCAGTTTTATGAAGCCATACATCAGACCAATCAAACAAGTTAGGGAATTTTTTTTTTCCAAATTATAAGACATTAAAGCAATTTTACATTCCTAGAATGCCAGCTAAATCTAGAAGTGCTGATCAGAACAAGCAAGAAAGGTAAGATTGTTGATAAGCTTACAACTTGGCCTTTCAAGAATCACATCATCGAACTGTGAATCAGCTAACTGTTTCGTGCCACTGATAATGTCCATTATAAGCGCAGCTAACTGAGACAAGAGGGACATTGGATCAACACCAGAATCCATCAGTTCTCTAGACCTTTTCACCGTTTCTGCTGCATTGGATGAAATAGCCACCTCAAGGAGATCAAGTAATTTCTCGTCGGAAATAAACCCCAACTGAAAGGTTAAAAACAAAAATAAGTAAAGTTCATTCACTAAATTAGCCCTTCCTAGCATACAACTTGCATAAAGAACAAAAAAAAAAGGTATGTAAAATAGCGACCTAAATGAATGACCATAAATTCAATAGACAACTCATAGGTCAATCATTTAAATTTCCATATGCAGCGCAACAACTTGCATAAAAATTCTGGTTATCATTTCATATTTTAAATAAGAAATTCAAAGATCTTATTGTATATAAGTCAAAGAAACAAGAGATGGGGAAAATAAACCATAATTTAAACATACCAGATCATTTACAAGAGAAGTGGTTATCCTCTTCCCTTGGGCACTCAGTTGACATAAAACCTTTTCTGCATTTTGAAGAGAACCATCAGCATTTGCAGCAATAATATTTAAAACATCCACTTCAATGTGAAGATTTTCTGCAGCAGCGAGCCTTCTCAGCTGCCTTACCATATCAGCATCTTTGATTTTTGAAAAAAAATATTTTTGTACACGAGAGATAATGGCCCGTGGCAGAATGTCATGATCAACTGTTATGAAAATGAATACAACATGATAAATTGGCTTTTCTAGAAATCTCAGCAATTTATACCACATTTTATGGGTCAATAAGTGGCATTCATCAATGATGAAGACCTTATATCGCAATTGTCTTGAATTCATAGTCATATTCTTCAAAAAATACTCAACCCTCTCTATACTCTTCTTATTGGCAGCGCTAGCCTCTCTTACTAGGGACCCACTTTCTCCATAGAAAGCAGTGCATTCCTTACACAAGTAACATGGTTTGTTTCCTTCAGTTCCAACACAATTAAGTGCAGCTGCAAATATCCTTGCAGCAGATTTTTTTCCAGTTCCAGATGGACCGTGGAAGAGATAGGCCGGGGCTATTCTCCCCCTCAGGATAGCATTCATAAGAGACTGAACAACAATATTCTGGCCAATTATTTCATCAAAAGTCCTTGGCTTGTGCATGAGGTTCAATCTCTTATTATATGCACTGTCCAAGGATTTCTCTCCAGGTTCTGCCAATTCAAAAGCCTCTTGGCTCTTACAGCTTGACCATCTTCTCCCATCCAACCGGCTCAATGCTTCCAATTCAATCTCCCCAAAATTTGTAGACAGCTCTTCACTAGTTGTATCATCACAGTTATTAGTTAATAAAGGCAAGTCTTGAGAAGTAGAAGGGAACTTAGGTTTGCTGAAGCCTGTTTGGCTCTGCTTAGAGTACAATCTCTGCCTTCTACCAAAAATGCAGCCTGCTTTTTTTCTAGTATCAGATAATACTGGAGAATAGCAGTCTCTACAACCTTTATCTATACTTTTCCTTGACCTATAACAAGGAAGCCCACATCCTTGGCTCACAGGTAAATCCAGCTGATCAAACCCATCCCCGTCAAAAGAAGCACTTGTTCCACAAGATGACCCAACAGTACTGGGCTTTCTACTTATTTTCCTGTAATAAGAGCTAGTTGATGCAGGAGTACAGGACTTAGATGAACCTTCTCTTCTAGTACTTCTGAAAATTTTGGAAGTTCGGGACCAGCTTGCACATCCAGATCCAGGGCATGGTGGTGATGCAGAGGAAGAAGGGGATTCAGCTTTACGAAGCACATCAAATTTTTGATCCTGTGCATCTTCAGAATTGCAGTACTCTGTGTCATCAGATTGTTCAATTGAGCTGAGAACTCCCAAGGGGCTGATCAGCGGATTCCTCTGCTTTGTTATTGATGAATGTTTTACACCTTGCCTTTTTGAATTTGCAAATCTTTTCAACCTTGTAGCAGAGCTTCTCAGTGGAGCATCAAGATCTCTTCCTCTGACATTACTAAATTTTGCAGCACCAGAGGACATAAGTTTTCTGTCATTAATCTCTTCTTTCTCACAATTGCTAAGCTTTTCTTCTAAACTACTCCAAGCAGATGGTTGCATCTCATCCTCATTCAACTTTATTCCACTTTCACCTGATATGCTGGAACGATTTTTCCAATTACAAAGGTACACCTTCTTTCTTCTATTTTCAAGTCCATGGGGTATTTTGGCAATTCCACTAGAGAACTTTACTCCCGTTGAGACGTTCCTTTTTTCATTATCATGATACGCAAAAACTGACTTGGAACTAAGTGGAGATCTCCAAGATGAACAAGTTTCGGGATCACGTAAAAACCGTGCCTTGCGAAGAGCAGTGAGTTCCTTCTTCAAGTGCAATTCACTGGGAACAATAATTTTTTCTACCATTTCCTCCCAAAATGCTGTAGTCTGAGGATGTCACTAACAGCAGTAGCCTGCTCTAAAAGAATTATGCTCTCACTGTAAATTTGTAGTCATCACTCGGTAGTTACCCTACATAAAACTAACGTACAGTGATGCCTAGGCACAATACCATAACAGTAAGATTTATCAGTTTAAAATCATTGGTGGTTAATAACAGTCTGATAAGTATAAACTGTAAAGAATTTATGAAACTAAATCTAGTAAATGAGGCTTTGCTTGATAGAAAAAATCAACTCTAATCAAAAAGTATCATTGGTGGTTAATAACAGTCTGATAAGTATAAATTGTAAAGAATTTATGAAACTAAATCTAGTAAACGAGGCTTTGCTTGATAGAGAAAATCAACTCTAATCAAAAAGCAATTTTTGTTTGCATGTGAAGTACATGGAAATGCCTGTGTCGACCTCACAAGCATAGTCTGACTTTATAAGTACAGAAAAACACTACTGGAAGAGTACAATAATTTAATCTCATACACAGTAAGACATCCCCCACCCAGATCGATACATAATCCCAACAAGAAACCTGGAAACAAAGAGGGTGCTGATGCGGGTGGCCAGGAAATGCTTGCAGAGCCTACAACACATTCACAATCAGAATCAGCGTTTGGCCATTTGGAAATTGGTTATTCGCTGACTGAACAATAGCAAGAATAGAAATATTGGAAATAGTCTCTAAAACACATTTAGAAAAGGAGCTAGCTCGTCTGGGTTCAGTGGCTCCACACCCTAGGAAAAGGAAGTAAGCAGTAGAGAAAATTACGAATGGCAGAGACACGTTACCTTCAGTGGACCAATGAAAACATTCTTTTTTGGAACAGTAGGGGTGCATGGAAAAAAAA